CCCGATTTACGTACTTATTTATGAAAAAATCTTTCTATACACGTCATATGTACACACTCTCTATTTTACATGTGTGTCTATGGAAATTGTTTGTGTATAAATGTGTAATAGGTATTATAATTATGCGACTATTTATCTATAATGCCATTGTATTCAGATAATTATGCATATATATTTTGATTTTACATGTGTCATCACAAAGAATAAATTAGATGTTTTTGTTAAGTTTAATCCAAAGTTTCAGGTTTTAATAGGATTGAGTGGGAATAAAGACAAGTTTTAAAAGAAACTTTTCCATACAACAAAAAGTCAAAAACGCAGGAGTAAAAATGGTGGGAGATATAATAAGTTAAGGAAAAACGATTCTCTTGCTCCAAACACGCCATAAGTCTCTGTATAGTGAAATACTGAAATATCCCTTCTGCCCTACGCCGTCTTCTACCTTCCGCTTGATCATACTTCCCCTATTTCAATTTCGGTACTGCCTTTATAAATTATACTCCGTATTATATATATAGATAGTCCATATATATTCACATTTCATATCATTTATTCATATTCGTTTCGTGACGAAAAAGCTCTCGTTTTTGGGGTGTGTGTGTGAGACAGTTTTGTATTTCCATCAGTGCTCTCTTAGCAGTTGAGAGTTTGCACAGAGATGGACGGTGGCGGACAATATAATCCTCGGACTGTAGAGGAGGTTTTTAAGGATTACAGGGGCCGCCGTGCTGGAATGATCAAAGCCCTCACTACCGGTATTTTAGCTAATTAACCCCGCGGTGGAATTTCGTTCACTGTGCATTAATCTCCACGACGCTGTTTGATTTGTTCCCATACTTATAATTTTGTGGGGTTTGAATCTCGCACTGTTTGATAACTTATTGCCTTATTTTGACAACTTTGATCGCAGATGTGGAGCAATTTTATCATCAGTGTGACCCAGGTGAGTTACCGAGTGAGGGATCTTCGTTGTTGTTCTGGTTCGCATTAATGCGTGTAGGTTTACGCATGATTTTCAAGTGAACTTGCGTGCATGTGTGTGTGTGTTTTAGAGTTGTGTTGACTTCTCAAAGAGGTATGCTCTTGCAATTGGTTGAAAGCCTGAATCTTTTTGGTCATCTGAACTTGTCTTCTTTTAAATGTGTGGTAGTAATTTGTTTTGTGTGCTTCCTCAAAGTAATAGTTTTTGAATTTGCTTTATCCATTCCTTAATTTTCTCAAACTTTGGATTGATTAGAAGGGAGTTGTTGTAGTAATTGTTTGACCTAGTATAGTAATTGAAGCTAATGGTTTGTGGGCATTCATGTTTGCACTGACTTAGCTTCATCACACCCTTTGGACCAGTTCCTATATTAACAAAGGGGAGTGTTCCATATCTTGATTCATGTTTATCTGGATGTGCAAAACTTTCTTTGAACACATATGATGTATACATAGAATGCACATTTGTCAGTAAGTTTAATTAAAACAGTTCGGCTTAAACTGGCCACTGTTGCTTTATATGTTCCCAGTTGTGTGCTTTTTCATATTTTACATTACATTGACTTGTAATAGGGTTTTTTAATTAATGGAGCAGATTCATATTATACTCATTGGCTGCAGACTTCAATACAAAGTCTTTAACTGTTATGTAACACAGTTGAGAATGAGGTTCTCCGAAGAGGATTTTTATTTATTTATGACAAAGCGTGACCTAATGTGGTATATACATTTATTTGTGACGTTTATTTTCATCTTATTTTTCTTATTGTCTCTCATTTGTTGCCTCATTTTTCGGATGAAAAGATTCAAATGAATGACACCAAGGAGGTGCTAGAAAACGTTACTTGAGAGTTTTGTTAGACTTGCAGCCTTGAAATGCATCCTTGCATCTCTCTTTTAACTTGAATTTGCTTACTCCACACCTGAATATTGTATAATAAACCAAAGTTCTTGATCTTCCAATCGTGATTCTCAATGTTGGTAAGAAGTGTGCCTCTATGTATCATTTCAATTCACCGTTTACCTGCCATAGGTCCAGCTATTTATCCTCGAGGCACAAAAATAGAGTGCAAATATTTGAGTTATATCTTTGCTTTGTTATTTATGCTTATAATGGTGTGGCTCCAATTGACTCATTTCCTTTACGCTTATAGGGAATTATGTTTGAATGTCGCTTGTGACAACTTTTTTTATTCCATTTCTTGTTCTTTTTTGGTTTAGTACTTTTGAGTACACAATTTTTCCCCTTTGAAGTGTTATTTGGATAAAATGGTTGAATATGTTTAATATTTTGGAAGGAAATATGTTTGGTAAAACCAATTTCAGCCAAATAAGCAAGTCAAAGGCTTAATTGGCTTATTCAAATAAAAGCAGAATAAGCTAATTAGTGCTACGAAACGGGGCCTTCATATAACAAACTGTGGTTGGTAACGTCTTTTTCCTGTTTTGGAGAGCTATCAGTGGCGTACATCATTCAGCACTTCAGTGCTATTTGAACCATTAGGGCTCTGTTATTCCAAGTTTTACCAATGGAGTGATATTAGCATACATTGTTTGGACAAAATTTTTACTATGTGAATGTTTGAAAGTTGTGAGCTTGACAACCCTGCAGAGAAGGAAAACCTTTGCCTTTACGGATTTCCTAGTGAACAGTGGGAAGTTAATTTGCCTGCTGAGGAGGTGCCTCCAGAGCTTCCAGAGCCGGCACTAGGTATTAACTTTGCGAGAGATGGTATGCAAGAAAAGGACTGGGTGGCACTTGTTGCTGTTCACAGTGACGCATGGCTACTTTCTGTTGCTTTCTATTTTGGTGCCAGATTTGGTTTTGACAAAAATGACAGGTCCACATCTCCACTTTAATACGTTTTTTATATTGAATAAAGTATGGTGAGGATTTTCTTTTGGTATTATTATGTTTCACTTGTTTTTATGGAATTGAAGGTTATTGCCGGTATAATACCCATGATCTCTCACTTCTTGGCTGCTACTAGGGTGTGGTTTCATGCAGGAAAAAATCATAGAGATGACTTAACTGCACCAATATTTTAAGGGTGTATTTGTGTTCTTTCATGCAGGAAACGGCTCTTCAGTATGATAAATGATCTCCCGACACTGTTTGAAGTGGTAAGCGGAGTTGCCAAAAAGCAGGTCAAAGACAAATCATCAGTCACTAACAACAATAGCGGCAGCAAATCAAAGTCAAACTCTAAGGTACACTTTTCTGACCCAAAAGAGATTGCACTATAATTAACTTGTGAGTGATGGTCTCACAGACCATTGTATCACTTTTCAGTTCAATACTTGTACTTTTGAGCTAAAATCTTCAGCTTTTTGGAATAATAACATGTTGAATACAGCTCTGTGAGACTCTTGCACAAGTGTTGCTAAAAACTAAAAACAATCAAACCAAAGTTTTCTTCTACTTGATTGATAACTGGTGGTTGAGTGCATTTGGGATGACTTATCTTCAAACAATGCTTTTTATAGGAAAAAATATACTTTTACCTAAAAACAAGTGTTTGATAATGATTTTTTAAATAATTAGTTGTCCTAAGTAAGATATAAAATAATCATTTTCCTGAGTACTGCGTTGTTATTTCTAAGGTGCTATTGTTTGGTGATAGATAAAGAAAACCTTTTAAACACAGAAGATCATTAAATAGAGCTCATTAAAAAATAGATCATGGTGGTAGTGATTTTAAGAAAAAACCCATCACATAAGTAAAAATTACTCTTTTTTCAAAAGTTCTTTTACTTCCGGAATGGGCCTTTTTTATGTTTACTTAAGAATGTACATCATCGGAGTTTTTTATAATAAAAAAACAATTTTTTTTGTAAGAAAGTAATACTTTTAGTGCTTAAATGATAAAGCACATATTGTAATGAAAGCACTTTTATGTCAACCGGGTTGTAGCATTGCTTCTGATTCCTCAGTTCCTCACTGTCTGCCCGTTCCTAAGTCAATCTAGACTTATTTTTTTATATCAATCTAGCCTCATATTGGAATCTTCACAGGCCAAATACACAAAGGTGCAACAACCAAAGGACGAGGAAGTTGATGGATTTGAAGAAGAAGAGGAAGAAGACGGAGAGGAGGATGAGCATGGGGACACCTTGTGTGGGGCGTGTGGGGAGAACTATGGCACAGATGACTTTTGGATTTTCTGCGACATATGCGAGAGGTGGTTTCACGGCAAGTGTGTGAAGATCACTCCGGCCAGGGCTGAACACATAAAGCAGTACAAATGCCCTTCATGCTGTAACAAGAGGGCACGACCTTGATGGTGATGGCAATGATGATGATCTCTGGCTCCACGACACACGCTGGGTGTTTTTAACTCATTGTATTTGTCTGGTGTTGCTGAGCTTCATCTTTATATCTCCTTCGTCCATCTCACAACATCAGCTAGGCATGTGTATGCAAGTTCTTTCTGGTCTTTACTCTTGGTTATTTTCAGGATAATTTATTTAATATGTAGTAGTTAATTTGGAAGTTGGACATAGTTCCTTTTAGTCTTTGTAAGGACAGTTTGTTTCGGTGATTGATTAATGACATCTCATATTGCAATCAATAATGCCTCTCTCGATTTTATTAAAGTTGGCTCTGCAATCAGCATAGTGTTATATCAAAATTGGACTTCTCAGTTCTCAGTTCTCAGTTCTCACTCTGCATTTTTTAAAAATGTTTTGAGCTAGCATGGAGCGCGGAGTTCCAAATTGTGATGTGAATTTGAGACGAGAAAGTCAATTTTCCTTTTTTATTGGTTATGACTATGACAAATGAAGACATGTCATATTTGAGTATATTCTTAACAACAGAAATATGACGGTGAGGTGTAAACTCAACGTTTTGAAGTCCTATTGCGGTGTAAACGTGGGGTGCAAAAGCATTCAAAGATAAAATCTGAACTTCTGAAGGTTGGGTGCTTTTGTGGCTTGAAATTTGAACTGTGAGAGATAATGCACGTGTTTGTGGGTAGTTCCAGGATAGGGTTTTGGCCATTGGAACACAACTTATAGTCCATAGAAGTAGCATCAACCAAACCAAGTTTATTTGTCCACCACAACAAGCACCTCAACAAATTTCAAAAGATTTAAGGTTCAGGCAAATAATGACAAAAAATGGATATTTTTTCAATAATACAAGCATGTATTAACATTCTGAAATAATGATAAACACCAGAGCGGCATACACTTTTTCTTGCAACCCAAAAAAAAACATATTCAAAATGCATGTGCAGAAGGGCCAAAAGAATAATGACCACAAATTGTTTCCCGAAACAAACGAAACCTATCACTCAATCCATCTTTCCCAGATGAAGGCCTATCAATTCATAATATCTCCCATGCAGCTTGCCTTTGTTTATTTTGCAAAATCATTACACCTTCGTCCTTGCTACATCAATCTGATTGTTTCATTTGGGATGATGACATTAGGATTCCGGATATGAGGATTCAAAGCAGCAATCTCCTTCCATCTACTCCCCGTTCCATACACACGGGACGAGACACTCCACAGAGTTTCTCCGGGCTTTACAGTAATCGTTGTCCCCCCTGGATTTGAAGAAGCTGCCCCTTTATTACCACCACCTCCACCACCTTTTGACTTCAGAATTGGGTGTTTGTTGTTCTTCTTTGCCATCCCATTGGCGAGCAACCAACGAGACCCACTCTGTTGCTGAGTCGTGGACCCCCACCCCCATGGCTTTTTCTTCTTAACTCCCTCATCACTGTTTAATCCTGCAACATGCACTTCTGTTATTTTGTACTGCGGCACTAAATGTTGTTCCTCCTCTTTCAAAATTCCAGAAACTGCTACCATTTCTTCTTCTTTTTCTTCTTTTTCTTCTTCTTTCTCGTCTTTTTCTCCATCTCCACCATTGTTATTGCTTCTAAGTTCGTACACGGAAGAGTAGATCCTAGGCTTAGGTGGCAGGAATTCTCTTTCCACCTGAACAAGGGCAAGCATGGGTCGTCCAACCGGCTCATAGTCTCTCAAAGGATCGCGGAGCTGAACCATCAATGCCACTGTGAAGTTGTTCCCCAACAAACCGAACGACTTCCTCTTTCCCTTACTGCCGCGTCCTTTTGATCCTCCGCGTATCAGCTCCATCGAAGTAGCATGGTGAGCCGCGAGCAGCTTCGAGGTACGTTCGGTGACTTCATCCTCATCGTAGATCTCTCCAGAATCTAATTTCATCCACTCATCAAGGGATAAAGACAGCCCCATCAACCCATCTATGTCATCTTTGTCATCACAGGTAGCGGCGTCTTTGATGTCGAGAAGGTGTAACCCACCCACTCCTTCCAGACCAGTGGACCCGCCGAAACTGACCATACCCTCAAAAGCTGGCTGTGGGGGGGTTATGTTGGAAGGTGCGTCCTCGTTTGACATGTCCGATTGTATTCTCAAACCCTCAATTAAAAGGGATTCGATTTTGTCAGTGGCCAAAGGAGCAACATCTTCCAGGGAAAGGTATTCTGCTTCCTGTTTGTTTCCGATAGACCGTCGGCCATACTCATGCAGATTCCCTTTAATTGCCTCCGAGGCACTTGACATGCTTTGGCTTGCATCAAATTCCCCATGTCTGAAATATGCAGTATTGTATTTTATTCAGATGCAGAGAGGAGCAAAACCATGTATTTTTGGAATAAAAGGTTTCATGCTCTACCTAAGAAATGACTACAAGGGCAGAACAAAAAGTAGCACCATTTTGTGTCAGACCAATTCATGGTGAAGCATATCAATTTTCAGCATAGAACTACCACCACAGGAAAAATAAATCTTGTTTCATCAAGGTACACTTTAAATCTGAGAAGGTACAACTCTTTCTAAATCATTTATAATCTATATTTCCCAACCACAAAAGAAATGTGTTTTTTATCAAGGTACACTTTAATTTTGAGAGGATACAACTTGTAAATCATCCATAATATTTATAATTTTATATTTCCCAACAAAAAAAGTATCGTTTTATCAAGGAGCACTTCAATTTTGAGAAGGTACTACTTTTGTCAATCATTCAACATCCTTACCATTTTAAATTTCCCAACCAGCTGAAAAAATGTCTTGTTTCATTATGGTACACTTTAATTTTGAGAAGGCACAACTCTCTAAAATCTAACATACTAATAATTTAATTGTTTTAGTGTTAAAAATAATTATAGAAGTAATTATATACAATTATTTAGCACCATAAGTGTGATTATTTTAGGTAAAATTAAAAAAATAAAAGTAATTATATACAAGTATTTAGCACTGTAAGTGCAAGTAATGCCAGCGACCCCTTATAGTTGGGATTAAGTAGCTCATAATGACGATAAATTGTTTGTTTAACTTAATGTAGCATGCTTACCTTGTTCAGAAAACATTTTACTTTATTGTTGTTGGAATATTTACAATAAACCAATGAAAATTGGCTTCTTTTGTTGAACTATGACTCATTTTGGGAGAAAAATAAGTTTGAAAAGTGACTTTTTCAGACGGTGGATGATATACTTTAGGTGAAGAACATCCACTTTCTCAAGACTATTTGTTGTGAGATGAAAAGTGATAAGAGCTTGGTGATACCGTCACATGCATGGTTTTCACCATCATCATTCAGACCTTAATCTTAACCAGTTAAGGTTCGGTGTATAAGATTCATAGTGCCAAATAATCGTATAAAACTAATTGACACTGTAAGTTCATTCAAAGAAGCAAGTTTTTGTGGGAAAATGACATACCTTTCAGATCCTTCCAAGGTGGAAGTTGCCTCCCAAGCAATTTGTTGCACAGTCTTCCCAGTTATATCTTCCAACGGCATCAACTTATTAGCTTGCATTGATAGTTTCTCAATACCAATGGCAGCCAAATGCTGCAATATGTCCATGACACCAGACCCCATCTCTGCTGGGACCACCACCGGCTTAGACACCTGCATGCTCAGCTTCCCACCACTTTTCGTCTTATTAAAAAGACCGGGGTTCATCGAACGTAGAAAGCCTCCGTCTTTGGTCTGAAGAAAGGGACCTAACCCTTCTCCAAGAGAGGGTAATCCATCAGCATCATCATGTGGTTGTACGTCAATCGGGCTGCCAAATCCACCTGAGCTTTTAGGAGGGGAATGATGAAAAGCTCTTTCATTGAGACCCCATTCGTGCATCAAAACCTCTGTCTCCAGATCCTCCAACATAGATGCCTTTGTTCTGTTTCTTGTCTCTGTTTCTATCTTAGGTGGTGTAGGAACATTATAAGACTCAGCGGCGGCTGGGAAGAAATCAAAGTCCTCAATAGAATTCCTAATATCTATTTCACCACTGTTAAACAAGGAACAGCCTGTGGCAAGAGCATCCTTCTCGAATTGCCTCAATAGCCGCTCTCTGGGTGAATCCGGCTCACTTTCAGAACTCATAATGCCGAACGGGCTATGCTCTATACCAAGCATGTCAAGAAAGTCAGTGGCCACGGATTGTGTCACATCATCTAGGCTGTGGGATTTCCCTTTCTTGACTGGTGTATAACTTTCTTGATTTAATATTTCACTGTCATATTGGGAATCTGACCCTTCATTTTCAATGTTTGAGAGGATGGCCAATGCAGAATCCAATTCGTCCATAATTGATTCTTTGGTGCATTTACTCTGATCTTTGACTTCCAAATCACATTCATAAAATTCATCTTTGATTTCTCCAGGCAAGATTTCTTCAATAGAGACCTCAAGAGAATTGTCAGATTCAAGACAGCCTTTTACAGAATCAACAATTTGAGTTTCTTGTTTTTCCTGTTCCTTAAAAGAAAGTTCTAATGGTTGGTCCATAAAGGAAAACTTGCCAATTTCACATTCATTTTCAGAGTTTTTCTTTAAATCCGGTTTTAATGACTCTGAATCATCATTCGTCGCTACATCAGACTCAGGTTTCTCATTAACTGATGATACATCTAACTTCTCTTCATCAAGTTTCCTGTAAAGCACATTCACTGACTCAGACAGGTCTGACATTGACACAGAAACCTCATGAAGATCCTTTATGTCTTCAGCCGACCATTTTGAAGCAGCAGAAGTTGCTGGCAGGCTCCTGGGACGCCTTTCTAAGGTTGTCTGCTTCTCACAAACTTCCTGCTTGGTAGAATCATTTCCATGAAGTACATAATACCCAAAACTTACATTTACATTTGCGCCCTTAGCCTTCCCTGATAACCTGTAACTAGTAGTCCACTTTCCAGAGCTCTTCTCATCTTCCAATTCCTCTAAAGTAAGTGGCAGTAATCTGGCGAGATCCACCCGGTGCTTCCCTAAATCCATTTCAGGATAACTGTAAACAGAAACGTACAACAAGAAATGCTTAGCCTCATATTTTGCAGAATGGTCCGGCCCATTTCCACTCCCGTGAATAGAACATGAATACGTCAACTGTTCTTCAAACTCAGCTACCCCTTGAAGAACCCGAACTGGGTGAGTCATCATCTCTCCATCTCGTCTCTTCCAGTGCACAACTAGTTTAAGGCCATCGAACATCACCGGCAAGCCTTCAACGGAGTGAACTTGGAGGGTGAAACAACAATTGAATGTCCGGTTTCTAACATTGGCTAATGCCTTAATTCCCTTCCAACTCCAAATGGACTTCTTAGAGTCCTTCTCTAACAAATCCTTGTTGGTGGCCTTCGTTTTGGGTTTTGATTCAGGTAAGTCAGCTTTTCCAATTGATTTGGAACGACTGCTCACAGTAGACATTAATAATCTGGGCTGGGTTTTATCCAGATGTAAGGCTTTACTGATGGTTTCAATGTCATTTAATAACTTCCCACTTCCAGAATTTTCGCCAATTTTCTTCCTAGATTCACGTTTTGAAGACATCTTCCCCCCAACACTACAACAAATTAACAAAGCTTTAGATTATCCACCGCGCAAGATCACATATCATGCATATACAGCAATTGAGAAGAAAAAAATCTTAAAATCAACAATTTGAAATAACAAAATGAATCCGTTTTTAGTTGGGATTTCCGAAGGGTTCAACAGTGGAAAATGATGACTTCATAGGTCTTATCGTGTAAGCATCAAGACTAAGTTTTCTAGTCAACATATAACAGCATTAAAGATTACCTGCAGTTTAGAAGAAGGTAAAAAACACAAATTGAAAGAAAAAATCTGAAGAACAAGAATGCTCATAATAGAGCGGATATATTCTTACATCAAAGCCGAGCAAGCGATGAATGAACGGCTCCGCTTTGAACTCCCCCGTCTCCCTCACCCTCCTTCTCTCTCTGCCTTGCCTTCTGAGTTCAAAGTTTACACCAGAAATAGATGGAAGTCCAACTTCCGATTTTGCAAGGGTGGGGCTTCCAGATTTAGGTATTTATGCTTATTGCACTTCATTTTTTCTTTAATCCGATCACATACTAAGAATATGTAATTTGTCTTGCGCATAAAAAAGCTTCACTTTTAGGCAAAGAAAGGCATATACATCTAGTGCAGAGTGCGTATACCGTGCAACAGGTATACGCACGGTATACCTGGACGAATTTATATTTTTTTTTTCCTTGCAACAGGTATACGGTGAGCACCGTATACCGGGACGGAATTATATTTTTTTTTTCCTTTTGCTTTTAAAAAATGGTAATAACTTTTTTATTTTTGATCCGATTTTTATAAAATTTATATCAACATTTTTTATTTTTCATGATCTTTCAAATGAGACCAATATTGCCTATGTAATTTTAACATATTAACATTTGTGTGTGAAATATGTAACTTTAAGTGTTACGATATGTAACTCACGTTCAGTCAAGTCAAATGCAACTCGTGTGTATAAATATGTATCTCTACGTGTAACAATATGTAACTTTACGTAAAAAAATATGTAACTCGCATTCAGACAGGTCACATGCAACTCGTGTGTATAAATATGTAACTCGCGTGTATAAATATGTAACTTTACGTGTAAAAATATGTAACTTTACGTGTAAATATATGTAAGTCGCGTTCAGACATGTCAAATGCAACTCGTGTGTGTATATATATATGTAACTCGCTTATAAAAAGATGTAACTTGCTTATAAAAAGATGTAACTTGCTTATAAAAAGATGTAACTCACTCATAAAAAGATGTAACTCAATGTATTATCAAATGTAACTGAGACCATTGATCCACTCCCAAACAAATTCGATCTTCTATTTCACAAACCTATCATCTCCCAAACAGATTCGATTTTTCTTATAATCCAATACTCATTAATATAATAGTTCGATAATTTCTTAAAATTACATACACAATATTGGTCTCATTTGAAAGATCATGAAAAATAAAAAATGTTGATATAAATTTTATAAAAATCGGATCAAAAATAAAAAAGTTATTATCATTTTTAACATCAAAAGCAAAAAAAAAAAACTGCGTCGTTTTTGCAACCGGGCGCACCATATAATTTGCCAGGTTCGAATAAGGTGCTTTTCCTCTTTTAAAAGGAATAATCTCAAATCAAATCATATAAACAATATTGAATCTTTCTAAATTTTCATTAGTTTTGATGTGATTATCATACTTTCAGATAACACAAAATTTAAGTGTTAATTTAATTAGACTCATTGACATGAAAGTTTAAATGCAACCATTATAAATAACATAAAATAAAATGTATTGTCATATAATTTAACTCATCCACTAATACTTTCTTTAGTGATAAACATAGGCCAACAATTTTTATTATTTGGTAAAAATGCTCTCCATTTTCACTTAGACTATCATTTGATACGGAGTATGATTTATTTTAATTCGGTTTCATATGATAAATGTCTTAGAGCAATCCCAACGCTGTCTTTCTAGTCTAGGTTTAGTCTGCCAAATCATTAAAATTAAACATTGTCTTTGAATTTATTCCTCCCATGCTGGTAGTCTTTTGCTGACAAGGCAGAAAAAACTTAAACACTGTGAAGGCCAACGTTTAAGTGTAGAAAGTCATCCAAACTTGCTGACTCAACAAAAAATAGGAGGAACGGTTACGGTGGCGGCTTGAGCAAATCAGAGGTCCTAGACATAAAAATATTTACTATGTACAAATCAAAGTTACTTGACACAAAATCATCAATCAATTAATGTAAATCCGTGTCAATCTTGTAATTTTTTGTAGTGATAGAGGCTGAAAACAAATTAAAGACTAAAGTTATGGTTGAATCTGGAGCCTCTACTTGCTTCGGAGCAAGTAGAGTGTCTTGCTTCTTCACGACCGTTCATTCGAAAAATCAGGGGTCAAGGATGTTTTTACTTGGACTGTAATTTGCTGGTCTGGTTTGGTCTGATCTGATCTGGTCTGGTCTGGTCTGGTCTGGTCTGGTTTGGTTTCTTTGTATTTTTATAACTATCCAAGTCTGGTCTGGTCTGAATTGGTCTGATCTGGTCTGGTCTGGTCTGGTCTGGTCTGGTCTAGTCTGGGACGAATTACAGTTAGGGGTGGATCGGTTCCGGTTCGGGCCCGCCGGGCCTCGGTTCATGAAGGGGGAGGCCCGGAACCAGCCCGGGTAACCCCCGGGTCCAGGCCGGGCCGGGTCGGGCCTCAGTTCTAATTTTTTTTTTTTGGCTTTTCCTAGTTAACCCCCAACCCTCCCCCCTCACCCCCAAACCAACCCTACCCACCTCAAATGGCCCAAAATACCCAGCCCAACCCAAAAACTTAAAAAAATCCAAAAAAAAAAAATAACAATAAATTGGCCCAACCCAAACTCAGTTGAAAGCGCAGTTATCTTCAAGAATTCATTTGAATGCCTTCACGATTGAATTGTTAGCTGCAATTTGGTATGAATAAACTAGACTTAATGAATAAGATGCTCAAAACATTTCATCAAAAAATTCAACCGGGAACTGTCCCAAATGGAGATGGCCGGAAAGAGCCTCCTATATAAGAGCTTATTTGACCTTTTTATGTAAGTTGGAGGGTCTATTTGACCCTTTTTCCTTTAATTTATGATTATAGTGGAGGACCGGCAGCATCCTGTCCGTCCATGTCATATTCTCAACTAATAATAAAGTGATAAAAGCAATAATTTCGTACGAGTAAAAACGCTTCAAAAGCTACTATACATTATTTAATCACGGATTAGTTTTTTCGAAAGACATTACTCGTATTTAATAGTGTGGCGTACAACATTTCGTATAAATAATCTTATTAAAATACCGGTGAGTGGTTACTGTGGTGATATAATGAGATGTTTGGTCAAAATTCAAGTAAACGCTTGTTTAAGTCAATAGTTACAAAAGTAGCTTTGTTTGGACAACATGCTAAACTGAGCTTAAGTAAAAATATACGGGCTGAATGAGAACGCTTGAGGAAGCAACGTTTGAATTCAGCCATTTGATAAGAAAATTATGATGCCTAAATTATCCCTGCTGCTTTTAAAAAAAAATCCTTGAAAATTCTTATCCTCATTTCTCCAGCCGTGACTCCCGATACTGATGGAAGGGTATAAATTTTAGCAATATGGCTAGCTACAATTTTAACATATTTTTTATTTAGCATTGTTTTAAAACATTTATAATACGTTTTTGTTTAAAAAATGTATAAGTTTAAATAATAAACATTATGCGTAAATAATACGGTGTACATGCAAAATCATGTTTACCATTTTTTTATTACCTTCCCTATTGCAAAAAAAAATACTATTACCTTCCTTACCTGGGCAAAGCAAACTACCGCACCAATATTTATTAAAATATAAAATTCATTATAATAATTTTTTCCAATTAATTAGTTATATGTCCTCTATCGTAACTTTGTATTTTCCAGACAATCTTCTAGCTCTTTTTACCAAACGAGTCTACTTCATTCAGCTAGTAGTTCATTTTCAGCATTTCAAAGTTCAGTTCAAGACAATAATCTCTAATCAGACAATAACCCTTAATTCAGACATTAGACTTCAGCTTCAGCTTGTATCGCCAAACATAGCCAAAATATGTTCAAATTTAGGGGTGTTTGGAACCAATTCTGCTTCTGCTTCTTTTTTAAAACAGAAGCAGAATCAGAATCGGTTTTCAGAAGCTGGTCACCCATAGCTTCTAAAAAAACTGATTATAGGAGTAAATTAGAGCACCAGAATCACTTCTACACTTTCACCCTGAAGGAGCAGAATCAGTTTTAAGAATCAGATCCAAACACCCCTTATAAACTACGAAGTATTACATGTATGCTAATACTTTTTTTAAAAGGCGTGTATGTTAGTACCTAATTCAATATAAATTGCAATATTTTATAGCAATATATTCAACATCATTCCAGCCTTTTCTCAAGAGTTCTGTTTGGGATCAACTAGCTAGTGTGTATCCTCATATAATATACTCCCTCCGTCCCTGAATTTACTTTCGTAGTACAAATGACACACAGATTAAGAAAATGAGTTTTGTGTGGTGGAGAGTTGTGCAGAGAAGAGAGAAATGTGTAAGAATTAATGTAAACCACAAATTCTTTGCCAAAAAGGGAAAGATAAGTTTTTTTTGAGATATTACCCGAAATAGGACTAAACCAGTTTGAAAATTCCAAAATAGGACTGCCGTGTTTTTATTCTTAAAATATGACTAATTAATGTCATGTTTTGGCAGTATCAGACTTCAAACATAGCAGTATTTTCTAAACATGGCAGTAATTAGTACTATTTTGGGGATAAAAAATCATGACAACCCTATTTTGGAATTTTGAAACTGTTTTAGTCATATTTCGGGAACTTTCCCTTCTTTTTAGGATGAACGAAAAGAAAAAAATGGAAGTATTTTCAGGAACGGAGGGAGTATTATCTTTCCCATAATATGACTTCAATATTTATTTCCCTAAATGATAACTTACATGCTATGTCATTTATTATGGGGGCACGATTCGTATTTTTACTTTTAATTTTCTTCATATGGGTGACTAAAATCAAGTCTATTGATCATATTTTTGAGAATTTTAACAACTTTTACTTATATGTAGGTATTTTTCCCAAAAACATTAAAGAAGTAGACACACGATATAAGATCAATTCTCCACATACATGTTCGTTGAAATGTTTAAAACACATACACTATTTTCCATCAAGAAGGCCGATCAAAAAGAAAAAAGATAGGAATTTCAAAACTCCAATTAGTGTTTTTTTTTTTGAAAAATACACTCTAATTAGTTTCGAAAACAGGTTTCTCAATTCTCTTTTGTTATGGAACAATTAAACTCGGAAAACTAAATTTAAACTTACCAAGTTCCTCGCACGCTTTTGAATTCCCGAACGGACGAACGGTATCAACTAGGAACAAAATCCATGATTTTGTGCGGAGTATATAGTGTGAGGTAAGCTACAATATTCACCATAATCTATCCAAAACGTCTCACTTATTATACCCATAAAAATAGGGGAAATTTTTCTAGATATGACTAAAAGATAAACAACTTCTCAAAATATGACCAAAAATCTCCCGTATGTTTAATATGACTAATTTGAAGGTA